CAGTTGAAAATACGAAAGTGAATATACACGCCACTAATTGTTTTATTAAATCTTATTTGTAAAAAAGAAAGGAAGAGGAAATTTAATAGTTATGGCATCAAAAAGATTTGATTTATATAAACGCTGCTTTTTTATATTAAGCGGCATATCGAATCCCTTGGGAAAAACTTTAACCATAGAAATGTGTCGTCGATTCAAGGCAGGCTCCGTAGCTGTGTTAATAGATGATTCTGAAGAGAATCTGCAGGAATTGAAAAAAGAGTTGGAGTTTCTTGAAAACGATGTGGAAATTGTTTGCTGTGACATTGGCGACTGGCAAAAAGTTTCTGGAGCAACTTTCAGAGAAATACTTGCTGCCTCAGTTAACAATTACATAGTAGATGACTTTGAATTGGCATTTATTCTACATAATGAAGGACTTAATGCCACAAGTAAATTAATAGAACCACAAATTGCTAAGGATTGGAAATTATATGTTCAAGAGAATCTTTACGCACCTGTAGCTTTAAACCAGGAATTTCTAAGATTTATGCATTTCGATGGCGTGAAAAAATTGTGTGTCAATATAACTTCAAGCCTACAAGTGAAACCAATTGTATACAGTTCATTGATGGGGTCATGCAAAAAGGCTCGTGATATGTATTTTCGTGCTATGGCTGCTGAAGAAGGTCGTAATGGTGTTACTGTCTTAAACTATATGCCTGGTATACTTGCTACTCATGAACCTGAATTGGATGTAAATGGTAACTTGGTGGAAGTAAACGAATTGAATATGGATGAAACATTACTAAATATACCACGTGTTAGACCTATACAGACAACTTTGAAACTTATTAATATTTTAGAAGATATGTCCTTTATATCTGGGCATGATCTCGATTATTACGACACCTATGTTTTATGAGTAGTACTTGAAAAATATTATCAGATATATATACGTTTTATATTTGATGATATTTTTCATTTGTATAAATTGATGGCGAATCATAGCAATGATAATATTGAAAATGTAAATGATATTTTAAATAAAATTTTGATGATGTTTGGGGGTGAAATGAATGGCAACGGACCGGAAAATAATGAAAATTTGTTGTTTTATTTATTTTTGTGAATATATTTTTTGTGATATTTGGATATTTCAGATTTTTGAACAAATTGTTAAGTTTTTGATAAGTAGAAAAAGTAGAAATTGTAGAATTCACATTAGAAATTATAGAAAATTTCAAAAAAAATATCGCGAACAACACAAATACGTAATATTATTACTACAAGTTCTATTGAAGTACAACTTGAGAGAGTCTTCTTAGCCAATCTGGACAAATTAAAACTATTGACAATCCTAACAATGGCTCTTGTTTCTAAATCAATAAAGATACTGAAGAAAATTCTTTTTAATCACAAGGTGCGTGATAAAAAAGTTTTATTCTGCATATCACAGTCTTCGGGTGTCGACGTACTTCATCTTTAAAAACAGGTAGTTCACAGGAATATGTGCACTCAATACCCAGTGATCGTTTGAGTTCAGGACTATTTAGACTAGGAAAATTGATTTGGCTGGTTGGTCTGTAGTCGAAAAAAGCCTTCTCTTATACGGTCAGATTATTGAGTATCCCTCAAAAAGCTTAGGATTTTATGATGGAAGTGATTCACCTCCATTTGTAAACTTATTGACTGTTTCGTTACCATCCAGTCCAGACAAGATACCAATAAGTAATTATTTACCTTAACTTTTAACTTTTTAAACTCACAGAATAAGTATAAGTAATTACTATTAATTAATAGTTTTCTCTAAGTAATTACTTATACTTATTCTATGAGTTAAAAGAGTAAGTTTAATTGAGACATTTCAAGAATTAATCTCATTTTTTTATTAAAATAATTAAGTAATAAACAATTATTTTACTGAATGTGGTATCAGCTCTTGTTATCATTTTGGTAAACCTATTGAAGCTTTAAAATATCAACAGTTCCATTTCCATATTCTAACAAACGGTAATAAAATTACTCGTGTTTTTCACATGTAGCTCACTCACAAAATATTCTTATCATAAAGAGCCTTGTGGCCAGGGAAGATCAATGACTTAACACGTCACTGATATCACAGTCTGAATGTGAATGTGTTACTAGGCGAAGATTTTATGAAGACCTTGAATAAAACACTTGTTGGGTCCTCCTTTAAATGTCTTTCAATTTAATAATAGTCATGTTTTGATTTATTTATTTTTATGAAAAATTAAACCTATATATCATAAAAGAGTGAAGTAAATTGAAACTGCGGAAAACATTGCTCTAGATACTTTCTGCTGACCTAGTTTGTCATAAAAACAAAAATTTTTTTAATATTTACATTTTTATTTGTTTCAATAAATACTATTTTAAATTTCAAAAATTTGTTGACTCAATTGATAATAATTTTTTTTTTCAAAATTGCACTAAATACTGAATAAAAAATTGGACTTTAGCTGACATGAAACTTTTAAAAGTAAATGACACATTTTTAATGCAATTCTCCGTGACTGTGCTACTTCAAAGTAAACACCGATTTAACAGCTTATAGTTTCATATCATATATTTTATTAAATAAATATATAAATATAATAATGTAAAATATTTTTAATGATATTAATCAAAGCATATCAACTGAAATAGTTTCGTATGCATATGGGTCGCAAATCAATGAAATATGAGATTATTTTAAAAACAGCTTTATATTATATAAACAATATTATATGACAGTTTATCAGGGTCTGGCGATAGATTGATAAACTCACTTGTATAGAAATCTGTTCTATTAAGCGGGCTGCATTTTGGAATGACTCTAAAATATAGGCCATGTTGTGTTTCTTTGATCTTATCAATTAACAAATAAACATAAGAAATCATAATTATTGTATGTGGAGATTACGACTTTTTTAAGTAAAGAATTTACACATAAATGAAAAAAGAGTCTCGAAATTATTTCGCCCAGAAGAATTTATGTAATAACTCCTGCATAAAAACCTGCGGTAATTCTTAGTTTAATCTGAAAGCTTTTTGGATATTGTATTAAATACTTAAGTTATTGCAAATAAGTATCTTTTATTTTATCTTTTCTGAATGTTTAATCATTTCGTTGTGATTCCACGTCTTGAGTTGTAAGCCATTTAGAAATGTTGATATATTGATTATTTTGATGACTAGTTCTCTATTTTCGTCTACTCTATTTTTCTATTTTAGTAGCTATAAACTCTAACTACAACACTATTTCTAATATATAAATAAATGTTATTTGTCAATATATTCAAGTTTACAATTTACTAAGCTCATATTCTATATTCCAATGACTTCTTCACATTTTGATGCTGTGTTACAAATTTCTATATATTCAGAAGACACATTTTTCTATTAACTTTATCAAATTATCTATACATTATTTGAAACTTCCATAAACCTTTTGCATAATTATTACATTTTATAACATTTAAGTTATATGTTCAATTTCTGAAATGGTACGAAGAACATAGATAGAGATCAGGTTAAGAGAAACTGCATATTGGAAGATCAAGAAGTAATATTAAATGATATAATGTTTCGGATAAAATCTATTACTTTATTTTCTAAAAAAAATTCTGAAAAATTTGGAATCTGGTTTAAATTCCTACAGATAACTTACTGATATGGTATATACTTCGCATGCCCATATCATCGGAATTAATATATCACAATTCAAGAGAACCATTTCTTTATTGGCATGCTTTTTATTATGAAATATTAGTTCACCCACATATTTAAAAGGGCACCATAGTCTCATGTGCTCACACAAATGACAACGACCACAACACTATAATCCATATTATAATCACATGAGAACAATCCAACTGATTGATCCTATTGCCTACTCGTTGTGCCAAACAGCGCTTGCACTAAAAGTACACTATTTAATAGGTAGGCATAAATCCGCCTATTGTCAAATTTTTCAAGGAAATAAGTGGAAAATACTACTGATTCATTTTGTCATTATCTATTTGTCGCACACTATCAGTATTTCAGTTACAAAGTGCTTTAATTTGGAATTATATCATTAATTTCTATTATTTTCTAAAGTATCTTCTGAACTGTCGATATGAGTAATTTCAATGTAGTCAATTCATAAAATTAACCCATTAATTTTATAGTTCGATTAATGATAGGTTTTGGTTTACATTACCTTGTTCTCTAGATTTTCTGCGAATATGTTGTTTACATTATTAAGTTATGCGATATAATCGTCAAGAATAGCTTATTTTAATACGCTAATAAAATAAAATTAAATGGTCTATTTATGAATTGCATAATTATCTGTAAAAGTTTTATATATCAAAGTTTCCAAAAATAAAAAACTTTAATCTAATCTAACTATAGAAAAGAGTAATTAGATACTATGTACTCGTATATTTAAAATAATAGATTAAAACTTCCTATGATAAAAAAATATAAAAAATTATCGTTTTTATAAATGCATAAATTTTTTCTCATATTAAATAAATCAAAATACATATTTTCGAATTTTATACAACGTTATAAATACTAAATTAACAATCTGTAGTAACAAACGTATTCTGCATAAAACATATGAAAAACATTGCTGTCTGTGAAATGCGGCAATTGAGTCTCTTGTAGTTCGAATATCAAAAGATCATTTAGCATTCATTCGCTACAAGAAAAGTGAGTTAAGTAATTTCTTTCTTGGAATATGAAATTTAGAACTACTGTTCTCTGTTTTTACTTTTTATAAGAACTCGCTATATGTAAATCTATAGTTTAATTATCACTTCAAGGTGAAGAACAAAAAGTCACATATCATGGAAATGATTTCTCTTTTTATGCAGAAACTCAAAGCAGAAAGAACTCAGAATGCATTTCACTACAGAGACTATTTAAGCTCTTCTTTATCTAATTTGACAATCATTTAAAAGCATCAAACATCAGGTAGACCCAGATCAGTCGTTTTTTTGTATAAGTGCAGCAGAGTAACTTGTAGTAAAAAAAACAGTACAGAGTTGTTCAGAATCGTTTTATGTAAAATTTATTTCGAAACATTTTGTTGATAATTTTTAATTTAACACCATGAAATTTGGCGCTTTGCTGGTTTCAGCAGCATTAATCTGCATTATTTTACAGGTGAATAATAAACTTAGAGTTAAAAACGAAACGATTTTAAGAAGATTATTATCATACAAAATATTTTAAAGTTCTATGTTATAATGTGTAATATCTGTGATCTTGTGTCTGCAGGTCAAAGCCGCTTGTATATGCAATGAGAAGGGTACAGATTACTGTGAGGGCTGCAATTCACGACGAATTGTGCGTCCTAAACATAAAAACTATGATAGCAGCACTGATTTGGATTTGCCACCAATTGGTGATACCTGTTGGTGTAGCAAAGTTAAGGTTGAACCTGCATCATTACCTAAACCATGCCAAAAAGTACGTGATCCCTTTGATTGGTTAGCCAGTCTAAATAATTTGTTTAAACGTAAATTCCTTGAGGCAGCCATTAACACGAAATGCATTGGTCTAGATCGTATGCATAAGCGTCTCAACGTATTGGAACGTATTAGTGACGCTATGCCTCCAATCAACTAAGTGACTAACTATATCCACTAACTTGTTAATACCAAAAAAAAAAAATTAAAAAGACTTAAAATTCATACAAAAAACTAAAACCAAAAAAATTAAAATTAACTGTAAAAATATTTCATAATTTTCACGATATATAAACAACTCGCATTCTGCATCAATATCAAGCTGATCATTATCATACATCATACTCAGTTGTACGTGTGATTAACCTAAAATGAGTAAAGTGTTTGTAATTTTAAACTGCGGTTAGAAATTTCAAAATTAATTATAAATTCTCTTTAAATACTTCCGTTTAGCATAAGACACCTTCTTGTGGCTGTAACAATTCTCCCGTTTATGAAGACAGTGTTCCAGCTTCTTCATATCCCATGCCTGAGTGAGTATTTGCAAAGCTTTATAAATTTTCAACCCATTAATTAATAAAGTGAAACTTTTATTTAGTGTTAAATATGTGTCAACAAAACCAAAAGATGACTCTCCAGCAGCTGATCCCATTAGCATTGGTTTGGCAATGAAGGCAGGCAAATCAATTGGAGTGCCTGAAGCAAAACTTTCCTATGGTTTCATACAAAAACCTCTTGATGGTCTTAAGAAAATTTATTTCTCCAGTGTTCCAGAAGAAAATCTTTACAAACTTAAAAGCGATGTTATCACATTAAAGAAACGTACACAAAAACCGTGCGCAGAAGAGTATGAAGAAGAAATGGTTGAAGAAGAGGAAGAGAACGATGAAGATGAAGAGCAACCACATCTAACATATAAACAATTAGGTTATGCTGCAGAAGAATTCAAAAATCCTAAGTTCCGTAAAGTGTCTTCACGTTATTATGCCGAAAATGAAGAGAAAGAAACACCATATAAAACAGAGGTCGATTGTGGTTACAAGCCTGGGCGTGTTGCTTCCTACCGCAAGACGAAAACTCGTGGCGATATCAATGATTACTATGGACGCACCTATTAACTACAGTTCCATTGACTTGAATGCAGACAATAATTATGATTACTCCTTAACATAAGCTATGTTTTTTTAACTAAAGAAATATTGTACAGAAAAATTTTGTAATACAAATGCATATTTATTCTTAAGTTTATTAAATAAAACTGTTTAGTTGCAGTTGATTTATGCATAGCGTTGCGTAGACGACTCTAGTTAAATTTAAAATCAATTTTTAGCTTAAACCTTTATTTACAATTTCGTATTATTCAAAATATTAACTGAGGAAAGTTTAATGAAAGCTGATATATGTTTATAATATTGCTTATTAGATCATAAGGCTATGCTAGTTTATTCTTTAAATATTTATGTATTCTTTTCATTTGTAACTAATAGTTGGTATCCCCTTTTTTTTGCTCTCTAATATTTTTAGCTAAGGTTAAATCAGATTTTTTGAAAAAATCAGATTTACACTACGTAAGCACTGGACAGTAACAAAGCTGATGTAAATCGATTACTTTACCTCCTTCAAAACTGCTAGAAGAGCTATTATAGGAGAATATTCATTCTTTTAGTATAGATTTCATCCCGATATTAACCCATTATTCTAAAAAAAAATTCATAAATACTTCGTTTCAAGATGCCATTATTAATTATTCCAAAAGTATATATAAAAACAATTGTGCTACATTCTATAAAACTATTTGAATAACCATTATTATAACCATTATCTTTTTCTTTTCATTATAAACTTAATTGGGATCAATTATATTAAATAAATAAATGTCATTAACGCTTACAAACTAATTTATTAAATATTATGTTAACCAACAATTTTTATTTGATTGATTACTGATAACATTTATGCCTCACTCATGGGGCAATCTCCGCAAATATGCATTAACTCGTTCAAAATAAATGTACCAGTAAAATCCCAATTTTCTCATCACACGGTAGCCATCCATTTCCAATAATTAAAAATCGAATAAGTCCATTATTATATTTTTAAATTCAATTGATCCAGTAACCTTCCTTATTACCAGATCGATTAGAAGACTAAGAAAATAATATATTTTATTTGATTTTCTTTAAAATTATGAAATGTGCATTTACCATTATGTATGGGGTGTATATTACATATTCTCTAATATTTTTTTCAATTACAACTTTGTTATCATTAAAAGTTTAAGATTTTTTATATTGACGTGAGTTGGTAGAAATTGGTTAGTTACAAAACTATCTTAGGTTGTAGGTATTCAGTTTATTCGGTAGCCTAAAGACTAAGCAAAAATTTATTTTATTAAAAATGTTTTAACTAAACTATCAGTAGTTTTTACCATATAGCATGTCAAATCATCCTCACATCAGCGTATGAACAGCTCTATCCGTTGTCACCATAAAACCATAAAATGTTGGTAAATCATTCTGTTTGGGAATTGAAGAAATGGAAATGTTTAGGAGGAATTACATTCCCAAAAACCTTACGTTACCAGAATAATCAGTAGGCTTAACAAAAATATTCAAATGCTTAGTTAATATTTTTTACAATTATACAGCATTATTTACCATATGGCATGTCCTCGAATGTATCATCACATTTGGGTTTTGGCTAAATGTTTAGATTAATTGTGACGCTTTATATCCAGTTCATTGTTTTTTGAGTTAAATAATCTCACAATCGAGAATTAAATTTTTTTAGTAGTTCAATCGACCCATTACTAAATACTAAATAAAAATTTATATACTTCGAAATCTTCAAAAATTATAAATCTCTTCTTACCATGTAGTACGTGTTAGTACTAGTTTTCACTGCTTAACAACTTCAACATATGGAACCACTTCGAAATATTGTTGAAAATTTACAAATATTATTGCCTAAAATTAATTTGATTAAATATGCTTATTCTTACGTACTGTTACTAAATAAATAAATGTAAAATTGATTCCTTGGTAGTCAGTAATTGCTTGTTTATATTTTGATAATTACAACTATTTCGAAGAGATGCAAAAATCTAACTCACCGCTTCGTAACTTAATTGGGTTTTTAAGTAAATTTTTTCTTTCGGACAGATATTCATGCATACTTAGCACTAGTCTGTAAGATGTTCCTTACATGTAATTCATTTTTTTGTGAGATACACGTATTTAATAATTATATTCTAGAACAAAAATCAAGTAAGAAAAACCCATTAGAAATAAGAAAACCCAGCTTATTTTAACATATCTACTTACGGGGAAAGAATTCTTAGTTCCTCAAACTATTCCTCTTGACTCATTAGAACAAAGCTTTAAAAAATTTTGATTTAAAGGCCGAATAATATTTGTTTAATTATCTTAATAATAAATGTAACTAACAAAGAAAAAATAATTTTACTTTAACATATCGATTTTTTGTTCAAATCTAAGCCTACTAATCGAAAAATTTATAAATTAATTTTAAATATACTGTCTACAGGTAATGGAAAAAACAATGAAAGCAAAGGTTGAATTGCTATAAATAAATAAATAATTTTGAATAAATTAAATAAATGTAGTCAGTGTTCCTAAATCCCTTAGACTATATAGTTAGCTATACATATTTAATTAAAATGAGAGAGTATTCTTGCAAACTCATGATAGGTGTTGGTGGCAGCAGAGTTCCTCTTCAGTCCAAGTATCGCGGTTTTTTTTTACATATACCTTGTAATAAAATTAAAGAATTTTTTGTTATTATTTTTTAAGAGATTTTATCTACTGATTCATTGGTATGCATTTATTTATATTACTATTAAGAAACCTCTGCAATATAATAACATGCTCCAATTTCTAATACAGTTTAATTACATTATAATAATTTCATTAAAGTTTATTGAGTTAAATTCTTATAGCATTTTCGATGCCATTATATTATAATTTCGGGAATATTTATTTGATTCATTCAAAATTATTTATAGCATTTAAATCTTTGTCCATTACCTGTAGACAGTAAATTTAAAATTAGACTTAAAACTTTTTCGATTAGTAGGCTTAGATTTGAACAAAAAATCGATATGTTAAAGTAAAATTATTTTTTCTTTGTTAGTTACATTTATTATTAAGATAATTAAACAAATATTATTCGGCCTTTAAATCAAAATTTTTTAAAGCTTTGTTCTAATGAGTCAAGAGGAATAGTTTGAGGAACTAAGAATTCTTTCCCCGTAAGTAGATATGTTAAAATAAGCTGGGTTTTCTTATTTCTAATGGGTTTTTCTTACTTGATTTTTGTTCTAGAATATAATTATTAAATACGTGTATCTCACAAAAAAATGAATTACATGTAAGGAACATCTTACAGACTAGTGCTAAGTATGCATGAATATCTGTCCGAAAGAAAAAATTTACTTAAAAACCCAATTAAGTTACGAAGCGGTGAGTTAGATTTTTGCATCTCTTCGAAATAGTTGTAATTATCAAAATATAAACAAGCAATTACTGACTACCAAGGAATCAATTTTACATTTATTTATTTAGTAACAGTACGTAAGAATAAGCATATTTAATCAAATTAATTTTAGGCAATAATATTTGTAAATTTTCAACAATATTTCGAAGTGGTTCCATATGTTGAAGTTGTTAAGCAGTGAAAACTAGTACTAACACGTACTACATGGTAAGAAGAGATTTATAATTTTTGAAGATTTCGAAGTATATAAATTTTTATTTAGTATTTAGTAATGGGTCGATTGAACTACTAAAAAAATTTAATTCTCGATTGTGAGATTATTTAACTCAAAAAACAATGAACTGGATATAAAGCGTCACAATTAATCTAAACATTTAGCCAAAACCCAAATGTGATGATACATTCGAGGACATGCCATATGGTAAATAATGCTGTATAATTGTAAAAAATATTAACTAAGCATTTGAATATTTTTGTTAAGCCTACTGATTATTCTGGTAACGTAAGGTTTTTGGGAATGTAATTCCTCCTAAACATTTCCATTTCTTCAATTCCCAAACAGAATGATTTACCAACATTTTATGGTTTTATGGTGACAACGGATAGAGCTGTTCATACGCTGATGTGAGGATGATTTGACATGCTATATGGTAAAAACTACTGATAGTTTAGTTAAAACATTTTTAATAAAATAAATTTTTGCTTAGTCTTTAGGCTACCGAATAAACTGAATACCTACAACCTAAGATAGTTTTGTAACTAACCAATTTCTACCAACTCACGTCAATATAAAAAATCTTAAACTTTTAATGATAACAAAGTTGTAATTGAAAAAAATATTAGAGAATATGTAATATACACCCCATACATAATGGTAAATGCACATTTCATAATTTTAAAGAAAATCAAATAAAATATATTATTTTCTTAGTCTTCTAATCGATCTGGTAATAAGGAAGGTTACTGGATCAATTGAATTTAAAAATATAATAATGGACTTATTCGATTTTTAATTATTGGAAATGGATGGCTACCGTGTGATGAGAAAATTGGGATTTTACTGGTACATTTATTTTGAGCGAATTAATGCATATTTGCGGAGATTGACTCATGAGTGAGGCATAAATGTTATCAGTAATCAATCAAATAAAAATTGTTGGTTAACATAATATTTAATAAATTAAATATATAAATATATGTATTTAAAAAGAGTATGGATAATATTATACCGTAAGTTGTAGAATCAATCTATGGAAAATGCTAGCTATGTCTCTAACACTTCATTAACCCTGTAGCAGTAAATTACATTTTTATTACTAATAAGATTAATTTAAAGACTGGACTTATCAATATATCCCATATCACAATGATTTAATAGCAAATACAATAATACGATTTTTCAATAACATTCATTAGCCCCATTGTTCCAGCAACATATATATACCTACATATATGTCTAACAGTCCATAAATCTCATATTTCGCACCCGACTGTATTAAATCTAGACTATACTACACCAATGAGTTACCCGTACATTTTTAGAACAAATGTGAATCTTATTGAAAGAAAAAAGCACGTTGTGCATTAATTAAAAAAATATGAAAAATGAGAGAAAGACTATAGAATTTTTTGAAAGGTCAGCGAAAGCTTAATTTTACCGGGTATTACATATTTAAACACAATATACAAGATACAAAACATGAAGCACTCCAAGTTCAAGAACAAATAAAAATCAAGTTCATGTTTGTTTTTGAAAGTTTAGAAAAGCATTAAGATTATATAAAGCGAAGACCGATGCGTTTCTTGACTTAGTAGAATTAGCTTCATACGAGAGCAAGACCGCCATACCCAAAGAATATGTCGGTTTCAATGAAATTGGTGTGGTTTATGTGCCTTTGGTTAAGTGCCGTAAGTGTACAAAAACAAATTATAATTCAGTTTTCCATTATTAGATAATAAATGCATATATTTATGTAAATAGTTTACTTATGTATATTGTGCACCTTACGAAGTAGTGTACACCGGTGACAGCTGTGATTGCCCATCGAAATTGAACTACCAAGTGAATGTGCCAAAAATATCGAAAACGAAAAAATATCGACCAAGCGAATATGGCTATAGTATAGATGTTCCAGTGCAAGCCGCCAAGGCAAAAGTTACATATTCATTTGATTTTCAAGTTGAAGAACCAAAACCACCAAAGCCTGTACCCCAAAAAAATTTGAAATTATTTGCAAAAGTCGATCGTGTAATTATAAAGAAAAATGGTAAGTTATAAATTGTTACCTAAGCATTGCACACAAATTTCAACTTAATGGTTCTTTTGAAGACTGCGAAGACACGTCTGGATCATCAGGTCAAAACCCAACATATTCTTCTTGTAATTGTGGCCAATGCGGTGTCACTAAACCACTTTATAGGTATGTATATAAGCGCGAAACACCCTGCAAGTGTCAGAAAACGAATTGTAAATGTAACTCAAATCCTCCAATCGCAATACGTTATGTTAGACTAACGAAACCAACATTAGGCTTGATTGGTAGTCCCAATGCTTTCAATTTCATAGAAAATACAAGGGAAATAGCTCCAAATATTGATACATTCAAATTAATCAGAGCAGTCGATGATGATATGTATGATGAACCTAATAATATAAGACGTAAACGGGATATACAACGTGTCTTTTATCGACCACGTAAATTTGGTGCAGAGCGTCCTGGACGATTTGTGAAGAAATATCACAAAAACTTATCGGATAAAGAACGCGGCCTATTTGATTTACGACTTTTTGCAGATCCAAAAACAAAAAAATCTAAACGCAAAAATAAAAAGGTGCCATCATCACGTCTTTACTCAAGAATTGTTAAACGTGACATTAAAGGTGAGTACGACCTTTTAGAAAAAGAACGTGAGCAAATGGATTTAACATTGCCAGAAATTATACAGTTTATGCCGGAAACATTACAACCAAACTATAAGAGAGGTCAATGTCATTTTGGTTGTACATCATCACCACAAACACAAAAATCTAATGAAGAGGTAGAGGCAACAACACCAGATTCTACAGAAGCTGAAAAAGAAAATATGAAACAAAATGAACCGAAAAATGAAATGAAAGATAATGAAGATAAATCCAAAGAAAATAGTATACAAAGTACTTACACAAAACGTAACGCCGGTCAATATTTATTGCCTTCTAAAGAAACTACAACAGATGAAAAGCGTACTGATACTAACCGATACTCTAAATCTTCACAACCCAAAAAAGCACTTCAACCAAACCAGCCTCAACCAAACCAGCCTCAACCAAACTTATATGCACCGCCGCAGCCTAAAACTATATACACAAGTTTTCATAATCCCTACAATAGAGATGGTTTAGGTATGATTGTGTCTGCTTCTTCAGTATCCGACCGTTCTGGGATTCCATTACAATATGCTGGCGAGCTACACAGTTTAGGTAATGCATACAAAGTACCGTTGCAAATTTCAGCACCTATTGTTGGTGCACGCCATTATCCAGTCCAGCATGTATCAAATGAAGAGCTGGATAAAATTATTGCCGACATCGTTTATCGACATCCAGACTTTATTGATGCGACCTCACATTACGGTGGTGCGTTAGTAGATCCCGAACCAGTGCAAGCAGAACAAACGAAGGATTTTTTGCAGAAACTTATTGAGGGCCGTTTGAGTTCATTATTCCATCGAGAACATATACCACGAAACTTACGAAATTACAATAACCCATTTTCCACCTACAGTTCACCTCCAGTCATTAACTACCATTCATCACTTTATTAGCCTTAAAAATACGTTAATGTGTAGATATAAGCATACATTCGGTTTAGTTATTAATTAAATAGTTTTGTAATAATAGTTATTTAGTCTGAATAAAAAAATTTAAATAATTTATATTATGTTTTTGACGCTTTTTACTTTTTTATTATTTCTTTTAGTTGCAGCCGCGGCTACTGATGGTTTAGAAAATTTTAGAAGCATTAATGAAAATTGGATTAAGCCACAATTACGTTTTCAAAGTTTGCAGAATTCATTTAATTTAATAAAATTTCAGCAATTTCATATAAATTAAATATAAATTTTTTATACAAAAAAAATTTTGCTGAAGTTTTATTTTTTATATTTATAACGTAATTGAGACTTTATTTGCATTAATGCTTGGTTAAGAAATTAAATAATTAATAAGGTCAAAAAATTATATGAATCATGAATCATTATAAACCTCTTTTAAAAATTTGATTATTAGAATTTCAAGACACTTTTGTTTTTCATAGGAATATATTAATAAAACTTCCATTTTGCAGAAGGCATGACTCCTTCAAACCCTTAAAAACAGGAGCCCATTGTGATAGATAGCATAGGCATAATGTTAAAATAATAGCTCTCTGCGATTTATTGGTTGTATAGAATTCAGTCTTTTGTATAATCAATTTAATGAAATATAAATATGTACTTATAATTGAACTCATAAAGAATGAAAAACATGATTGTTAAAAAAAATATACCGAAAACGATGTCTGATTAGTAAAAATATAAGTTAAAAGATTCATTAGCATATGCGGCACATAGAAGGCTAGACCACTGTACTTAGAAAAGTGTACTGAGTTTTTATAAGTTTTTATTGTTATATTTCAGTTTTCCCTGAAGATGACTATCGAAAATAGTCGAAATATCGGAAAAATTATTTTTAATAAAATATAAATGATTTTTAAATATAAATAATAAATTAGCCCGATAACAAATTATTATAATATGTTATATATTGGTAAATAGAGAAGACATAAATTTACGAATGCTAATATAACAAAAAAGATATTTTTTTTATTTTCATACTATTACTATAAAATAGTACTTGCAAATGATTGTATTTCTGTGGGTTCCTCCATCACACTATTCTGTATTTGAAGCCTATTCCTAACACCTTTTTCTCACGAAAAATCAACATAAATCTTCTTTTAATATCCAACTTTGCATTATATGTTTTTTATATAGAGTTCTATGTCTATTTTCGTACGAAATTATGTTAGTAGTAGAATTAAGAACAAAAGTATTAAAAAATATTAAAAACCGGTGTTAGGAATTTATCTTGGAGTCTCACATAGAGAGAAAGCTATATCTAAAGACTGTAATAGAGATTTTTTCGGATTAAGATATTGTGTACCAAAGTTGTTCCCATCTAAAGCTTACAGGCACATCTTTTCAATAATAATTTATTTCTGTATATGAGATAATATTTCTTAAATTATCGTACATCATTAAACCTGCTAAATATGTTTTTATTTAGTTCACATTTTTTACCTGTATGAGTATAAAGAGTATAATTGTTGCAATTTATTGTTATTTTAATTTATTAATGTCTGAATAACTGATCGATATAAGTACATGTATAGATATATAGTATCTTAAGACTTTGAATAGTCGCAGAATTATGCAACTCAGTCTCAGAAGATACACAACTAGTGGGTTTTATATCACTAATATTGAATTGATTTTTAAGTTTGAAGATTTCAAGTTTGTAATTGAAGAGCTAAAGGTTAAAATTTATTATTTATTCAAAATTATGTAGGTATAATTTCTTCCAAGAATAATATTCTGAACAACTTAAAGAATGGGAATGATTAAGATACTGAAAATTGAATTTGATATGAAAAAGCAAATTTTTTTTTTTATAAATCAAAGAACCTAACATATCAGACAAAAATTTAATATATTAAAATCTGTTATTTAATATGTTTAGTTATCATTTAATAGATAATAATAAAAATACATTTGTTAGTTAAGAATTTGTAAACTGCATAATCTATTTAAGTTACTTCACTTCTTAAAAGTGTGCACGAAGTGACATTTTATGATATTTTATAATGTAGGGCCTGTAGACGTCTATGACGACTAATGAAGACGATTAAGAAGAATATAAGAGGAACTCTTTCACTATTCACAAAAAAAAAAGCAAACCCAAAGGGAAACTTTTCGAACTGCAATGACATATGAAGTATCTGTCTTAGTACCTAAACTTTGTATTAAAAAAAAATTAATTATTAATAAAAAAAATAAATTATTTTTAAAAAATAAAATATATTATTAAAAATAAATAATAAAAAAAAAATAAATTAAAGTGTAAGTAATTAATCTTAAGATTCAGATTTCCTCAGTCCTACAAAACTCACTTCATAAAAAGTAGTAAGATTTCAGAGAAAATCTGTTATATATATCTATTATTTATATATACTGGTAAAACTGCAATTCCACTTTTATTTAGATTTTAAAAAGTAAATAGAAAATTATTTGGATGATCTGTCACTAGTTATTATGCGAATATTGCTAAATTCTTCATAGGTATATCTGGAATTTTTTAGCTGTAAATTTTTGTAACTAACAGCATCTAGTATATATATCGAATTTATAAATTGATCTCCAAACGACGATTAACAACCAGATGTGACAGATGTTGTTAGTGGTAGCTTTTACGTAAAAATCTGCTACTTTAAAACTTTATATCTCGAGAATTAAGCTACAACGTCATATAGCGTAATGGAAAAAGTTTCTCTAAATACTGAAATTTATCAAAATCGGTTGTAAATCATTACATCCGGGAAATCGGTATCGTATCGGAAAGTCTAATAAATGTAAATATAAGCATATTAAATTTTATATAGAGCTTGCTCTAATTGCAGTCCAATAACAATCTATAACTGTTTTAAAATTTTTATTTATATTAGCTGAATTGAAAGTACACGCAAAACAATAAATTTTGTACTTTAATTGAATGATTAGTGCAGAAGGCCACTAGATTTCAATAACAAACAAAATTAGTACTATATTTTAAAAATTTTAAATAATTCAAGCCCACAATCATATATTAAATTTATGAAATTCCATTACATATATTAGAGTACATCGAGTACGCACTGTGAAGGTCTTGAAACTTAAATACATATTATTTTCCGCACTAAACATGTGTAATCTTAACAAATACTAGTCTTAGCTTATTAACGGCTAATAGAAGTTAGTCTATATAATTGCAAAACTTGAATGAAAATATATCACGTCTCTTCCGAAACTAAACGCCAAATAAGCAGATTTATTTTTATTAATCTAGCGAACCACAGATGAAGCGATATATTTAAGACAAATTCATATGAAAAACATCATCAGTTAATAATGAGAATGCATTAAGTGAAAACTTTTTGTTTTGTTTTTCTTTGTTGAAGAAAGCAGATATGATTTTGCCGCAAAAGTTATGGCAACTAGTCTTAGTTTTGGCATTTCTTTTAGTGCAGCAGGTAATACTTTTTCTTATTATAAAGTGAAAAAAAATTTGATTTAAAATAAATTTCCATTTTTTATTTTGAATAGTACTGCGCTGCGGTTGGCACTACTGAAAACCCTTATCAAACCAATGCCGGAATTGATAAAAATTTTGAAGTAATCGATGTGGCGCATCAGAATCTTAATGGCAATAAGCTGCAAACTGGTCAAACTACACGTATTTTCACTGCTGGCAACGTAGACGATAATTTCTGGTTAAAGCATTTAGGAGATGACTTCAAACATGCGATACACCTTAATGTAGGTAACAATAATTCTCCTAGTAGCGGATACAACCTCACCAATGATGGCACACCATATAAAATCGAACACGAATACCTAACGAATGTAAACCCAGTGCAATATAGCGCAACCAAACAGAATGAACAACCAAGCAATCAAGCCTATATAAAATCCTCAAATAGCAGCTTTCCACATTATTTGAGCGCAAACAGTAATAATACATCAACGATGGGAGAGACAAAACAAACACCTAACATCAATTTAGATAATACACAAAGTAAGCCATTCGAACAAGTATTTACTCTTGATCACTCAGGTATTAATTTAGCACAACGTTTTTATGATCCAAAAACATTTGATATACCATCTAATTCGCAAAACAATAAATACTCACAATATGATCAATTGAGACCTATTTCTCCAAAATTTAACCAACAATATTATCAACAGAAAGAGCTTGCGAATATTGTCACTAGTAATATTAACTCAGCTAAACAGAGTTCACCAGTTGTAATTACTTTACCCGATACACGAAAAGAAGTGCAGCATTATGGTGACAGCGAGAAGGCTGTAGTTGTCAAGTTACCACCAGTAATATATCACAGTAAACCCCTATATACACAAGAATCTACACACAACTCCAAAGATAACCAACAGAAACACACAAATACACATTTACAAAGCACTCAAGAAAAAACTAACACAAATACACAACACTCACAAACATATAAACAACATCAAAACTATCCACAACTCAAACATACACAAGAACACAATCAGAAACCAGAATCCCATCAACCGACATACAATGCACAATATAGAGGAGACTCGTATCACCCATCAACAAGTGACATACAAAAATCCTACCAACACCAAGCAAGTAGTCATGACAAGACTCATAAGGAAGTGCGGTACACAGCCAGTAAACAGTCCAACACCGCTATTTATGGCAATAGCCAGAAAGATTCTGTTCATGGTGCAACAAATGATTATAAACGTCCTAGCCGGGCAATCGAATATCTGTATTAGTAGGTTTTCTAAATAACCCAGATTTAAGTTAAGCTATTCAAATTATGCAGACGATATGACTGATTTGAACAAAGATATGTGTTAAACAATAAAGATTTTTATATAAAAAATTCAAAATATTTTAATTGATAAATTATTTATTAATAAGTTCGTAATTAAAATTAATTAAATACAATACAAAATTAAAAAAAATTAAAAATGGCTTGTGTTCAGTGTCTTAAAACAATTTAATTGGTAGAGATTGGCGTGCTTACCATATATTGTGTTTAAGTTGATAGTTTAAATATATCTTTAAAAAAATTACATACCACATAAACTTTGTGGAATCTTAGAAAAATTAGTGATATTCAAACTTATTCCAATATTTTTAATTATTTTTAAATAAATTCTTGTATGTTAATTTGAAGTTAACACCATCGATGGCTTGGAAATTTTAATAATTAAAAAAAATCCAACAAAGTATTTATATTTATTCTAAAGTCTGGTGCTTACAATCATAGATAAAATACCATAGTTCACCATCAGTAGAATGTAAATTCCGTTGATATAAAACTATGCAAATTATCTATTAAATCCATTTACGTTAACTTATATATTATAAGACAGACTTTTCAACTAAAATAGATATTTACACTACTATGTTCCAGTTGATATTATAAGATTTTATGGTAAATGGTGGTTAGAATGTTTATCAATTTGATTAGCTCTCATTTATACTACATATATGATTACTAATAGTTTAGAGAAAATATATAATAAATATGTAGTAATATTTATAAATTAATTAAACACTTCTTTCATAAAAACTATTTTTTATCGAATACAATTATGAGTATAGTTAAAAGTATGCAACTATCATCTAAGATACTAGTGTAGAAAAAAGAAAATATGATGAGTTTATTAGCAACACCCCAAATCACCCAAATATCTTATCGTAAATAAACCTATAACTCTTCTAAAGTGAAAAATAATTATGACAACGACTTTCGAGAAATATTATTAACTCTTTTGAAGCAGTCTAAGACATTCAAGACTACAATTTTGCAAAAATCTAGAAATCATAATAAACATGAGTTTATTAGCAACACCCCAAATTACCCAAACATCTTATCATAAATATCTTCTAAGGTGAAAAATAATTCTGACATCAACTTCCGAGAAGTGTTTTCAACTCTTTTCAAGCAATATAAGACGTTTAAGACCACAACTTTACAACAATCTAATTTTTATCAGGGGTCTGTCTATACTTTTTCAAAAAGACAACTTAAAGTAAATAAAACTATTCTGGTTCAACTAGTATTTACGCATAGACTATATAAATTTGTCTATAGTATATAGCAGTGGCGGAGCTAGACCAACTCCCTTTAAACCCCCTTTATAACCCAGTTGTAAAAGTAAATAAGTTACATTCACTAATACTTACTAAAGATTAATAATATTAAATAAATAATTAAATAGAGAAGAAAGGCTATAGGGTCTTTCTGCGACCGTAACACCATAAACAATCTTTGGATGGACAATGTTCCGTGTAATTCAACAGTGGAAAAAGTGTTAGTGGCGCAGCACAAAAAGTTGTGGTCAACATTATTACGACTATATCTATTTTCGATCTACCCAAAGTTTCGCATAGTTCATTCGTATGTGAAATTGTTGCTACTGTATGAGTGTATGGTTGAGGCTTAATAACGTTTCAAATTGACCCAATCACTCATCAATCTTTAACAATAGAGGTGGCTAAAAAGAAATACCATTGTGAAATTTTTTGAGTACATTTATTAAATGTGAAATAAACACAGTGGTTTAAATACACGCTGAGCAAAGTAAACATAATCAACTTGACCCCAAACCTGAAGTGAAACAATTTACTTGTATGAACATGAACTTCTTTAATAATTATGTTTCTCAAGACCCCACCCTTTATTGAAAAATAAATAAATAATAATGATCAGTATGACTTCAAAGTATCTATTCTCAGCGGTGATTTTCCTATGGCGCAATTAATGAAGGATAGAAAGCCCTATGTGTGTGTATACTGTATCACAAAAAAGATTGGGGCATACTTACATGTACTTTAAATCGAAAGGGTACTAGGTTTAAACAAATTATAAGGACTCTGTGATGCACTAGAAGTAAGTGATAGAATAAAGAAATATATACAATTTTAAAATATATATTAAATTAGAGGAAGCATGTATGGCAATATTAGTGACTTCTGTTGATGTTAAATATAATATAAAAATCAAATAATTTAATTAACATATATTAACATTTTATAAAACACTTTCCGATACTGTACTTAATATATGAGATATATTATTTGTTTTAATATTAGCATAATGCTATGTTTATATCTTTTTGATAGTAACATTTTAAAAAGCGTTAATTCTAGAACTCTACTCTCATGCTAGGTTCCTACATAAAGGATGTTAAAAACTTGGTAAAAATTGAAAGTAAAGAATAAAGTGAAGTTTCTGTTCTTTATGCGTTAATTTATTATTTAATGTTTATTTCTAGTAACAAATTCACAAACGTATATAGGTTTAAGTACAACTAAAGTGTAAGAATTTGCCTCAAATATTTTAGTACTAAAATATTAAATAAAGTTAACTATTAATATCAGCACAAAACATTTATCTCGGTATTTTAATAAAGTGTTTAAATAGATAAACATGTAAATAAGTACTTTGAATTCATCTGCAAACATTTTGAAGAACAATTTGAAGAAATCTGAAATATAGTATTATTAAAAAAATATAAAAAAATTAAATTTCATCAGAAAACACAAGAAACAAGAGACATTGTAAATCTCGAATGAGAATGTCGGTTAGCAGATACATTGCATAGTATTCATTGCAAAAATTGAAATTAAAGATTTGTATCAGAATTGATTACAGTGAGCACAACTAAATTGATTACCGGAAATACTAAAGAGTTTTCTTTGCAAACATCATAGCAGTCTGACCATTACTTAAGATAGTCAGTATGTACGAAAAAAGTTTATCTATTATTTTGGAGAAATGTGATTGACATAGAAATCACGTACCTAGTAACCATAAAAGTGAACTCATATATAAAAAGCTTCAAGTTCATAAATTACCACAAGTAGTTGATGTGTAGACTATAGCGTACGGTCCCACTTAGCAAATACAAACACAATGAAAACGTATTATTTGTTAGCACTTTTCGCCGTTGCAGTGCCGGTAGGTTTAAGTTATAAATTTTATAAATTTATATGAAATATTTAAATAAAATTGTACATATATTAATTATGCAATTCGTATTACAGTATGTGGCCGCATCTTATGGACCTGCACCCAATCCCGGTTACGTCTCAAACTTACCAGGAGGTGCAAGCAATTTGGATGATCTTGTACAAGCTGCCACTGGTGGATCACAGCAATCAGTCAGTTCAATCACAAAACCAGCTGAAGTGCAACCCACATTAGTTGAACAAGCTCGTCTAAATAACGCACAAGCTCAATTGCATGCTTTGAATGCCAACCCCACATATAAAAATATGCGTGACTCAGATGCTATTGCTGAATCCTTGGCTACAAATAACTTGGCTTCAAACATCCGTCGCGGAAATATTAACCTTGTTGCACCAAATATTGTTGATCAAGGTATCTTCCGTTCCGTTTTGGTACCATCTGGTCCAAACAACCATAATGTAATTGCTACCCAACCATTGCCACCAATTGTTGTCAACCAACCAGGTGCTCCACCACAACAAGTTAGCAGTGGTCCACCAGCTGTTGTCAAGGCTGCACCAGTCATCTACAAAATTAAGCCATCTGTCATCTATCAACAAGAAATTATTAACAAAGTGCCAACTCCACTCAGCTTGAACCCAGTCTACGTTAAAGTATACAAACCAGGCAAGAAAATCGATACCCCTGTTGCTCCAGTTGTGCAACCAGTACATAACTATGCTGCTCCCAATTATGGTGCTGCTTCCAGTTCTGCTTCATCAGCTAGCGATAGCTATGCTAACCAAGCTCAATACGCTCCTCAAGCTCCAGCCTATGCTCCACCAACTTACTAATTTGATAATAGCTCAAATTATAAAAATTGAGGGATGTCTTTATAAAATGGCTTCATTTTGCACATAAAATTTTATAATAATTTTTATACAATAAATAATTTTAAAAAAATTAAATACTATCTCTATTTTAATATGAACATTAGGCTTAAGTTAATTAAATATATACTTGTATTCAAATATTCGTATATATAAAAGAATATAAAGTCAGGTTAGAAACCTTTACATAGAGAAAATATTACTGGATATACGATGCAGTTAACATAACATAGAACATATATAAGTTAGTATTATATATATTCATATCATATTATATATATTAGTATATAAGAAAGACATTAAATATTTATTTACCAGACATTAGATCAAAAAAAAAAAATAATTGACAGGCTCAAGAAAAAAAATATCTTTGATGATGATTCAACTATATGATTAATAGAAAGCTTAATCGCGTGCTGAATACAAACCTAGCATTTCCAACAAAAGCCGTGTTTTAGTCAGTACCAAGTCAGTAAATTACCAGTCTTATATCATATACCATATATATCATATTTCCATCCATGACATCAGGACTAAAGGCAATATAGTGCAGATCAGATTAGATCAGTATAGATGAGCTGTTTCAATTATTATATATATCCTGTTTGTTTCACTATTAATTGGCACACAATTTTTTTTCTTAAAATAATACAAGTGAATTCCTAAAATATTATCCACTATAATTCACACTAAATAGGTACATTAGTAGTAATGAGAAAACACCTTGAATATTTGCTTATTAAAAAAAGAATACATTATAGTTTATTTTAGAATAAATAATTTAGAAATCGAATAATCAAGTTAAGCGTTGAATATTTTTTCATAGTTACCTTACAATACTTAACACAAATTAAGTTGTATATCAAAATATTCTGAATTGTTAACAATCTCCTAGTCAAAATATAATACTATATTATGAAACTATGTATAAGTTAAGATATAAGATATATATATAAGTTAAGCATCTGAATTACAGTATATAA